GGTCCGGGGTGCAAAACGCATCAATGACAGCGACCCTCTACCACACAAAACAACACCATTTATATAAACACCTATCATGACAGGGCACCCGCAGCCAAGTAACAATTACAAATGAATTAAGTCGGCACGGCGGCCCGCATTGAAAATGACTTAGGCCTACCTTTGATGATCAAATCACTTAAACACAAAGTCCATCCTCCTGTCCTTTTGGATGAAGCACTTGATGGCGGGTCATTCAGTTGATCCTTTGCCACTCCAGTTTATCATTGTAACTCAATCTTGAAAATGACTCGGTTAATAATTTCGCAACGATGTCATCTTTATCACTGAAGTGAGCCATCATGAACGAACTTATGCTAATCATAAATCTATCGATCATAAATCTATCGATTAGATTTATGATTCAAAAATAATAAAAGTAGGATAGACATGTGGATATTATCCGGCTGAACACAACGTGCATTTATCTAACAGGTTCGTTTTCCACAGACCTTATTTCGAGCTATTTTCCAAAATCGTATGGAGAAATCCCATTGTTTTCTGTCGAGGGAATCCGAGCGAAGCTTACTTCCGGGTTTAGGATGCGTCACTGCACCACTTGCATAGACCTCACAGCGGGCGGAACCTGTCATATAAGTCCGCGAAATAAAGCCCGCCCATTTAGAGGGAAGAGATATGATTGGTCAATTGTACTGTCATTTGACATTACTCTCTCATTGAGTTACGGCCCGTCCACACTACAGCGTCGACAGCTTCAATCTGCCCATTCACTTTGAATAGGGTGACGTCACGTTGCCTCGCTTTTTCGCCGAACTGAATTGTGGGTAGCATAGCGCTCCGTCTCCGCCGTCTCCGCCGTCAGAAGTTGAACAATGTTCAACTTCTGACGCCGGAGACGCCGGAGTAGCCAGCGCCAGCCAATCAAATCCCGTTTCGGAAAATCTGACAGCTCAGCTGTAGCCAATCAAACCGCGTCTAAGCTGGGAGAGATATCCCGCCGTTCATTTCTATATTTCAAAAAAAGATGGAGGAGAAACTAATTATCGCCGTAGCAAATCACCCGGTTTTGTATGACCAGACCCTCTTCACCTACCGGGATACAAACCGGAGGAACTAGGCATGGAGGGAGGTGGCAGAGACAGTGGGTGAAACTGGTAGGTTTTCGCCTGTTTGTGGAGTTTATATATATTGCTCCCATAAAATCCCGGGGTTTTTTTTCTTTGTAAAATCGGGGCGGGAGATTTATGTGATTTGGTTGTTGGTCACGTTGCTTGAATAAATCCCCAAACTTCAGACACGCCCAGCTCCAAGCTTTTTTTGAAGCGTAGTGTGGACGCTCCGTACGGCCCGTCCACACTACAGCGTCCTCTGCAGCGTCGACAGCTTCAATCTGCCCATTCACTTGGAATGGGGTGACGTCACGTTGCCGCTTTTTTCGCCGAACTGAATTGTGGGTTAGCAGAGCGGTCCGTCTCCGGCGTCTGTGTCCACACCAGCAGCTTTGACCAAATCTTGAAAATCCTGGAGCTGGGCGTGTCTGACAGCTTGGGGATTTCGCGACCAACAACCAATCACCTGAATATCCCGCCCCCGACATACAAAGCACAAAAACCCGGTTCTTCTCCACTATTGTCAAATAGGAAGGGCTATGATGAAATTTATTTTTTTTAACATTTTGAACATTATGAGATTAATGTTTATGGTGCTATGTTATGCTATACATTCCATGCGGCTAATGATACTGTCTATGCTTGCTAGCAACGAAGTAAACCTAGTAACGAAGTAAACTAGTAACGAAGTTAAACTGGATATAAAATCCCCAAACAAGCGAAAACCTACCAGTTTCACCCACTGCCTCTGACACCTCCCTCCATGCCTGGTTCCTCCGGTTTGTATCCCGCAGTAAGTAAATAGGACTGGTCATAAAGAAACCGGGTGATTTGCTACCGCAATAACTAACTTCTCCTCCATTTTTGTGGTATATAGAATTAACTACGGGTCTGGTTCTCCCAGGCTTGCACGCGGTTTGATTGGCTAGTGCTTGAACTGTCAGATTTGCATAAACGGATCTGATTGGCTGTCGCTTCCAGCTCAGCCTCAAAAGTTGAACATTGTTTCAACTTTGGAATCCTGAACATCCTGGAAATCCTGGAAATCTTCGGCCTCGCCCCCCCACAATGCAGTTCGGCGACAAGCGAGGGGAAAGTGACGTCATCCCCATTCAAAGTCAATGGGCGGAGACGCGTTGGAAGCGGTGGACAAATCGCCAAAAGCTGCTGTGTGGACGGGCCGTCAGGCGTCAGAAGTTGAACAATGTTCAACGTCAGAAGTTGAACAACAACTTCTGACGCCGGAGAGCCGCAGGAAGTAGCCAGCGCCAGCCAATCAAATCCCGTTTCGGAAATCTGACAGATCAAGCCGTAGCCAATCAAACCGCGTCTAAGCTGGGAGAGATATCCCGCCGTCCATTTCTATATTTCAAAAAAAGATGGAGGAGAAAACTAATTATCGCCGTAGCAAATCACCCGGTTTTGTATGACCAGACCCTCTTCACCTACCGGGATACAAACCGGAGGAACCAGCATGGAGGGAGGGTGGCAGCGACAGTGGTTGAAACTGGTAAGGTTTTTCGCCTGTTTGGTGGAGTTTATATATATATTGCTCCCATAAAATCCCGGGGTTTTTTGCTTTCTATGTCGGGGGGCGGGAGATACATGTGATTGGTTGTGGTCGCGGTGCTTGAATAAAATCCCCAAACTTCAGACACGCCCAGCTCCAAGCTTTTTTTGAAGCTGTAGTGTGGACGCTCCGGTAAACTCGCAGGGACGGCATTTAAACCCTTCACATTCCAACAGAAACTGAACAGGCAGATTCGAAGGATTTATTTATTTGGAAATATAATTTTAAATACAATTAAATCAAGTTATTTTGGTAAAACTAATGAAAAATGTAACAACAAAAAAATATTAAAAAAATATGTAAAAAAAAAAGTTTTTTTTTAATGTTTTCAAATATTATTTTTTTGAATATTTTAGGCCCTCACAGAGGGCCTAGAGGGCCCTGACGGCTCGCCACTGCCTTACCGTTACTGCGCTCATAAAGAATGATATGAATAAGAATAATGCATATTGAACTAGTTTAATTAATCAGTGAGTTTATTTAAGGTAATTAGTTAGAGGCCCTATTTTATCAGTATGTCTGCACAGCAGTTACAATGGTCAAACTACATTAGAACAGAATTGTTCCCATGTTCTCTTTAATAGTTACTAACATTAGATATTTTAATGAGATATGGACCGCAAAACAAAAACATGTCCCTGGTTTTTCCTTTTATGACCGAATGCAAGTAGTCGCCTTAGCTTTTTTTTCTTATGAGATGATAATGTGAATTACTATTCAAATTAGTTAATGTAAAAATCGTTTGGTTTATTTTGCATTAAAAACAAGTTAGAATTTTCAAAAGGTCTTGTGTTTTTTTTTAGGGGGGAGGCCCTTTTTCCAGTTTAGAGCAATAGCCCCTCCAAATGTCTGTGCACGTCCCTGATGTTGTTAGATACACTCTATGTGCACCAACAGTTTGACCTCCACCTTCTGTTGAACTGAGAGCTTCCTAATACTGAGTCCCTAACTGACAGAATGCTTCTTTCACCAGCACCGAGCTTGACCCCCCACGTTCTCCTCTCTGTGTTTAAATATGCCACGCAAACTCTATCTGCGTCTTTTACTCTAAAGACCGTTTGTTCTCTGTATTTCTTTCTTTCAAGACATAAAATACGACAAAGACAGCTTAATGTTTGATTCTTTATCCACATTTGGTAATAAACAAAGAGGAGATCTGTAAGAAACAGCTCATTACTTAGCTAAGCTAATTAGAGAGCTGACGGAAATAGAAATATCTCATGAACTTCCCCACTCAATCTATCAAGACCCGAGCAGTTCTACCAGAAGTACACGGTTAAAGGCACAGGCCGGCGCATGCCGCCAATGGAATCCCTTGTCATATGAACCTTTGACCCCCCCAATGTATCAGTGAAGAGACACATGTGCCAGCTCCTTATTAGAATAGTATTTCTTCTCTTCTCTGAGAAACAAGGGTATGAAAAGATCAGCCAGAAACAGAGGAAAAGAGGCACAACGAAACTACGTAAATGCACTCTCCTAATATTAAACAGTAAGAGGTGAAGAAACACAAAGCCAGAAATTGAAATGAACAGGCCTCCTTGTGCTTACCCTAGAATCGGGTGTAGTTTATGAAGAGGGGATATGGGGATACTAGTGAAGAGGGAATAAAAGTGAAAAGGCCCAATTTACTAAACGTAATAGCACTCTCCAAAGAGACAGAAAATCAAAGTATACGCCGAGAGGCACAACGAAACTACGTAAATGCACTCCCCCGTTTAAATTAGTACCAAGGAACAGGGGTGAAAAACTAAACTAATCAAAAGTAGGAAATGGGAAGGCCTAAGAAACCCTCCTAGATTAAGTTTAAAGGAAAGAACTGGGGAACAAAAAAGTACAGGAGGAAAGGCCCAACGAGTCAACGTCAACACACTCTCCTAGAATAGTTCAAGGTAAAATGGAGGAGGAAGAATTATAGCAGGAAACAGAGCTGAAAAGGCGTCCCGAGAACGCTTTCTCTCTAGACCAGGGTGAAATTGTAGGATAAGAAACAGAGATAGAGAGCACACCAACCTATCTCTTCGTCAGAATGTACTCCCCCGCCTGGATAAGCGACTCTGTACCCCTTCCCCCTCTACCGGAGCTACCGGAGAGCCTTCTCACTCACACTTCATACAGTGTGGTCACAGCCATGAAGAAGAAGAGGAAAGACTACAGCACTGAGAAGCTGGTATACCTACCTGCTACTGCACCTGACTATTACACATGATAGTCTTCACCTATGCTGGTGTGTGTGAGAGTCAAGTTTCACCTCAGAGGTATAGGGACTGTAAAGGAAGTAGCAGCCCCGTGTAAAGCAGCAGATGCAGTTACCATCTTACCATAGCCGTTATCACTGTAGGACGAGGGGTGTTCTCCTAAAATGGCCTGTCTCTGCCTTCCCTTTCCACGGTCTGAAACACACACACACACACACACACACACACACACACACACACACACACACACACACACACACACACACACACACACACACACACACACACACACACACACACACACACACACACACACACACACACACATTAACACACACACACACACACACACACACACATTATGAGATATGGACAGTCATTTGGTGTTTACCTACACAGTGGGCTTCATTGACAGATGCATTTCCATTTACAGACTCCACAGTAAAATGAATTGAATGAAAAGGTATTTAGTCCACACCATGCCAGGTGAGTGTGTACTGTGGGACCCTGGTGTACAGAGCAGCAGTAAGCCCCCGGGCAGGGTGGGGGTCTTACTGTGCATTTAGGTTTGACTAACCCTGGCTTTAGTTAACCACCTGTGTGAAATGATGGTCTGACTGCTTGTTTTTGTAACACTGTGCTTGTGTTCCTAGATTTCAGCAATTAACTGTGTTATTAGAACATTCATTTATTTATATAATCAGTTTTTTCAATACACTTTATGGTAAAGACGGAAGTGAGCAAATAAGAAATAAACTGCTTTGAGGTGGCTTTATTGAGAGAGGCAGTACAGAGAAGGTGATATGAACAGAGTATGAAAGAGACAGTACCTGTCAGGCATCAAGATCTGTCTTTTTCTCCTTCAGCACCAAAGAACCTGCGTTACATTATCATCATAATGATAAAACATCATCACTGTGGCTCAAGCATTACACACAAGCTTAACACTGCATTGAAGGCACATTGAAGAAACCCCCACCCCACCCCACCCCACCCCAACATACAATCACTGGTCATCAGGTCATGCATTGCAGTGTCCTAATGGAACACACACACACACACACACACACACACACACACACACACACACACACACACACACACACACCACACACACACACACACACACACACCACACACACACACACACACACACCCACACAACACACACAACACACACACACACACACACACAGACACCCACATACAATAGAGGTTTCTCAATACTCAAATTTCCCCTCCTCGACTCCTATCCTCGACTCCTATCCTCGAGACTTAGTCCCGCCCACAGGAGATGCGAGCGGAGGACTGAGGAGGGGAACCGAGGAGAGAGGAGGGGAAGCAGCAGGCGGTTAGAGAAGAATGAGAACTCCTCTCCTCTGAGCGGTCATTTTAAAGAGACGTCCATTAATGATGACAGGAGGCACAGCAGCCCTCTGTCTGATGGACAGATGTGTTCATGACCACTTATATATTTACTTTGATTAATTCACAGTGCGGTATAATGAGACAACAGGCTACAGATGCGGACATATGCACACACATATATATAAATATATACAATTTCAGAATCAAACAAGTATGAGAGCACTCTCATAATAACGCAACACAATCAGAGACTGGATATATCCCCCCCCCCCCACCCCTCTCTCTGGTCGCTGAAATGGGGAATTTAAATTACGGGCCAAAAGTTGTACAAGTATTGAAAGTAAGCATAGGACACCAAACCAACTGAGACCTGTCTGTCCGCCGCATCTACGCACTGTACAACACACACCTACACACTGTAACACACACACACCTACACACTGTAACACACACACACCTACACACTGTACAACACACACCTACACACTGTACAACACACACCTACACACTGTACCACATACACCTACAGCTCCTAAAGCATAATCAGGCTACAGCCGTTGTGTATTTTATTATGTGAAGCACTAAATGGTCTTAGAAAAATATCGACTCTTTGTTTGTAGATATCTACTAAACTACAGCATACAAATACAAAAAGTAATGTAGGCCTGTTATACTGAGTGATATATATTTTACACACTGCTCTGCTTTCTGCACGGACCTCACAGCTGTTCTCACTGTAAACATCGCGTTGAGATGAAAGCTAATATAATATCCAAGGGATGCATGCAGAGCTGTCATTGGCTGAGATAAGTCCGGCCGTGCGTCACGCCTCCACCGTTCCCGGAAATGCATCCGTGGAGGAGCCGTGGAGGAACCATCAGTGTCTCCTCGGTTATAGCTCCTCCAGAGAGCCTCTTCGATGCTCGATGCTCGGTCCTTGGTGTGCATTTAGAGAAATTAGATGTCCTTCAACATGGCGCGCTGAAATTCATTTCCGGGTCACTACCGGAGGACCGAGGAGTCGAGGAGTCGAGGAGGGGACATTTGAGTATTGAGAAACCTCTCATGTATACATCACTTCAGGGGACATTACATTACATGCATTTCCTGGAGACTTATCCCAACCTTAACCATAACCAACACATGCCTAACCCTTACCCTTAACCTTACCCTTATCCTAACCCTAATCCTAAACCTAACCAAGTCTTCACCCTAAAATGAATGATTCCCCTCATGGGGACCTCCATTTTGTCCCCATAAGGGAGGCGAGTCCCCACACGTGATTTAGGTCCCCACAAGTATGGTAATGCTAGGCCACACACACACACACACACACACACACACCACACACACACACACACACACACACACACACACACACACACACACACACACACACACACACACACACACACACACACACACACACACACACAGTTCCATGTGTGGCTTGTTGACAGAGGAAGAACCTTTCACATACTTTGACCTTTTCCTCTTTCACTCTGATAACTTTGGTATATCTTTGTCTGATTTTTTCTGCAGCATTTGCAATGCACGTGCAGTCTGTCATTTACACACAGCTAGAAGGAACAGCATGGATGTGTTTATGAGTTAGTAAAGCCTAACAATAATTGACGTCTCTGCTTCACACTGTTGAGCTCCTCCACACTGATTCCAAAATTACGCCATCAAACCATCTGGATTTTATCTGGTGTCCTCAGTATGAACCCTCCATCACAGATGTGCCCTCACACACCACCTCAGCTGGCTTATAACCAGTGTAATCACACTTGGCCTTATCAACGCTAGCTCCATGAATATACTAATACAACTTGCCAAATGTGTTGTGCTCTCGGTATGCTGATTTATCAAAGCAACCATGTTCGTCTGAAACGCAATAGGGTGGTCTCCAGCGATGATCTCCAACTGATCCTTGATCAACAAGTCCTCCAACTCATACGACCAAATAGGCCGATTGTTCAGGCCCAATTATTACGACCAAATATGTCGTTTGTTCAAGCGCTTAATACGTCCTATAATTACGTTTTAAAGTGTTCGCCCTCTAGTGCTCCCGTTGAATGCAAACGTTACAGAGGGTCGTTTATTCACAAATAACCCTCTCTGTAAAACCCTAAATTGTAGGATAGTTTGGCCATTAAAACGCTTTTTGATTAGATTTCTAGCGAGAAGTGTATATTGTACTTTTAGAATCCACATCTAGTCGATATGTAGGATCTATAGTTTGATAGATATTACGAAGATGATTTGAGGTATGCGGAAGCCTCCATGTAAAGTTAAGGGTTGAAAACAGTATTTCCGGTCTCGACGTTTTCATAATAAAACCAATGATCAAATGATTTAACAGTGATATCTGCACAGGGTTGGGTTGTAACGGAATACATGTAACGGCGTTACGTAATCAGAATACACAAATCAAGTGACTGTATTCAGCTCGCGTTACATTTGAAAAACTTTCATAAACCTGAAGTGAATATATTTTGGATTACTTATTGGAATTATTGGTGGAAAGATGTTATTGAACATTTAATATTCATTACTAAAGGTACAGCCGAATCATCACAGCGCACAAAACCTATTACCGCCGCAGATGGACCAAAAAAGGGAGCGTTTGAAAAAAAAAGGGGCGGGTCCGCTCAGTGAAATGATAACAACGAAACATGGAGGAACAGAAGTCTGCGTTTAAATCGTGTGTGTGCGTGTGTGTGTGTGTAGAGGTGTGTGTGGTTAAAACACATCAGCCTGCGGTCGCTCTTAGCCTTTCTAATAATTCTGAAGGTAAACACAGTGAAGGCGGTGCATGAAAGGCACTGCGCGCTCCTCTTCTCAGAGGCTGAGTTAACGCTCCCGCTGCCTCCTGGTGCTGCAGAGATTTCATGAAGTGAAGGAGGTTTTCCTTCTACAAAACAGCTGTGGGCAGCAGATACTGTGAGCAGGGCCGCCTTAATGCACGGGCTGACATGGGCTGAAGCTCAGGGGCCTACGGAGATCGGGGGCCTATCATGAGCCAATTAAAAAAAATTCAAATATATATATTTTTTATTTCGGGTGTTTTTTTAAAATTTTAAATAAACAAAGTCTTGGCTTTCAGAATATGAAACTTGTATTTGCAAAATCACACGATAAATACATTTTTGAAGCTTGTAAAGGGAAGAAGACAGCTCTTCCTCGCCACTCTGCTCTTCCACAGCCCCACTTCCCCTCCCTCGGCTGAAATTATGAATGTAAGGCGTATAGTAATCATAGATAACACGGCAGGGTCCGTTACAGTTTGTTTTCATCTGATTTAATAAAAACAAAGTCTTGGCTTTCAGAATATTAAACTTGTTTCGGCAAATTCAGATGATAAATACAACTTTGAAGCTTCGGCATAATTACAAGCGGAGAACGGAGTAACTTAACGTCACAGCAGACATAACAACAGCCTGTGTTTCTCGTGAGTGTTTTCCCCGGGAAACAAACACAATGCACACAAACGCAAACATACACAAACACACACACGTACACACACGTACACACACACACACACACACACACATACACACACACACACACACACACACACACACACACACACACACACACACACACACACACACACACACACACACACACACCACTCGTGAGCTTCCCCCAGACCAGTAATCCAAACGTAAATATCTTCCCTCCGTAGTATTTTGATCATTTGCTCCGCTAATCAATCAGATCGATGGATTCCAGAGATGACTCCGTAACAGTCAGTGGGCACCACTTCACAGCCAATCAGAATGAGAATATGTTTCACATGTGACGTATTCAAATTGTGAGTG